CGCCGCGTGGGGAGGGGGAGCGGTGTTGGTATCGCCCGGGAGTGGGCGGGGCGCCCTGGTGACGGTATTACCCGGGAAGGGGCGGGACTTCCTGGCGGGAGTGTTTGTATTCCCTCGGAAAGGGGCGGGGCTTCCTGGGGGGTGTTGGTATCCTCTGGGAGAGGGCGGGGCTTCCTGGGGAGATGGTGGGCAATGTTGATTGGTATGGCTCGGGAAAGGGGCGGGGTTTCGTGGGGGGATGGTGTTGGTATCACCTGGGCAGGGGTGGGGGGCAATGTTGGTATCCCCAGGAGGAGGCGGGGCTTCCTGGGGGGTGTTGGTGTCCCCAGGAGGGGGCGGGGCTTCCAGGGCTGGTGCCTGGGGGATGCTGATGGGGGCGGGGGGCGCTTGTTGGCATGCGAGCAGGGCACCGCGGAGCAGGCGAGGTGGGGTCCCGCATCCCAGCGCCCACAACCTGCTCTGCGCAGATCTACGCCGACCCCTCCAAGAGACTGGAGCTCTACTTCCGCCCCCGGGACCCCTACTGCCACCCGGCCTGCGCCAACCGCTTCCCCACCTCCACCATGCTGCTCAAGGTGACCAGGAGGAGGAGGCTGCCGCGGGCGCCGGAGGCCGGGGAAGCGCCGGAGCCACCGGAAGCCACGTTTGAGATGCAGATCCTGGGGGTCGTCACCACCGTGTACAAGTTCCAAGGTAGCCGTCTCCTCCGCCGCCTCGATTTGCGTTTCCCGGCTGGCTGGAGCCAGCACCCGGCGTGTCACAAGCTGCGGCGGAGTCGCCGAGCGCACGGGGTGAACGGATGTGATGCAGCTCCTCGCCACGTTTGCTACGCAGCTCTCGTTTCCTTCCTCGCAGGGATGTCCGACTTCCAGTACCTGGCAATGCACTCGGGGCCGGACGGCAAGCAGACCTCTATGTACGACAAGGTGCTGATGCTCAAGCCCGAGAAGGAGGAGTTCTACAACAGGGAGCTGCCCCTCTACGTTCCCCCACCCATCTTCTCTCGTCTGGACACCCCCGTAGACTACTTCTACCGCCCAGATGTACACCATCGGTCAGTGCTTTTTCTCATGCGTAGTAAGTGGCCTCGGCTCGTGCACAGACAGGTGATGGGACCCCTTTACCAGGCCAGCAAATCGCTTGTACTGTGCGAGCTTTGCAGGTCATTACGAGATCCCTTCTCCACCTGAAGCAGCCTCTTGTGTTATACCTAGCGTGCTTCTCCAATGAGGGGCTTTTTAAACGCTCTCTAAGGTCACCTAATGGAATTGGAGGAAATATGTCTTTCGTATCTGACAGTTTTATCAGGCCTAACACACACACTGCTCTCTGTTTGACATGTCTGTGCCCAGACCCCATGTATATAATTAGAGGAAAAATAAGATTTAAAAGTCCGGTTTCTGAGGTATCGGGACATGATATGAAATCTGAGCTCCTGGCGTGGCAGGCAGAGGTTTAAACTATGTTGATTAAGTGGCCCCTGCAACTTCTGCTGTACTCATCTCCTTGCATAAGCCTTGTATCTCACCGCAGTCTAGACCAAAGCATTTGAGAGAGAGGACAGGTGAAGCCCCAAGTCTGACCGTCAGGAGCTCTGCCACTTGCAAGCTGTACGGTGTTGGGCAGGGCACTTATCCACTTTCTGCATCCTTCTGAGAGGAAGGAGGACCTTGTGGTCAAGATCATGGACATGTGTGTTCACTGTCTCACTCTGTGCCTGACATCCTGGGTGACCTTGGGAAGCTGAGGCACAGACCAAATGATTTACTCATTAATAAACTGGGAATAAAAGTAGTTCCTTATTCACCAGGTGGTTGTGGCACTGGACCACTACAGAGATGAGCCTTATAAATACCTTAGATGGGTTTTTTCTTAAAGCTGGCAAGGGTTGTGAACTACCGTGTTCTTGTTTTCTGTCCCTTGTGTTCACTTCTCTGCTCACCTTTTTCTCCATTTAAAAACTCCAGAGGTTTATGTTAAGACAAACAATCTGTCAGATACTGTTTTTTGGATTTTAAATGTCCATATTCTTCCCACGTCAGGGATGTACCTTGGGACTCTGTCCCTCCCCATTAAAATCGTGGTGGTGAAAGAATTCAAATCCCATTTAAGTGACTGAAACAAAAAACCTTGAAAACTTTGAGCATCGCGTTTGGGCATGGGGCAGAATTCCCAATGCCGGGAACCTTTGGAATAGGCAGTAAATGGACACAAAAGTTGGACTTATTAAGATAATGGTTCCTTTTCTTTAGAGTTTTTGCAAATCCTCCCATCTTCAGCTCTTGTTTCTCATCTTTGCAACTTTTCTCCCCACCGTTTCACCCCTGTATCAGAACCGCGGCCCTTAGGGCGGAACAGGGCTTGCTTTAGAGCCAGTCGGGTTCATTCACAAATAAGGCATCACAAATGTGTAATGTTCTCATCCAGGGAATAAACACGGAGTAAGAGCATCAGCGTGGGAGTAGGACACCGAGTCACGATGTAGACTGCTAGAGGATAGGCTGTTTGGCTGGCGTTCTCAGTGTTTCCAACGGAGCAAGCGCCATGTGCGTCTGAGCTGGCACTTGCCAGAGCTGTTTGCTTCCATTTCTTTGTTTGTCTTGCCCCGAGTAGATGGAAAAGCTGTGATATCTCCCACGAGAAACATCTTTCATTTTCTCACTGCTGTCCTTCGTTTGAACAAAAAAAGATAAATAATGCCAATGACTATAATCTGCCCCCGAGATTAAAATTGTAACTGTTTCCCTGCCTCGCTGTGTTGTGTCCATTTACTGTCACGGTGATTTTCAGCCATGGCGAATGTCACTGGCAACTGTGCTGAGTCTGTGCTTGTGCACAAAGACATCCTGGTCAGACATCAAAATGTGAAAGTTGCTTCAGGTCAAATAAGCACAGAGCAGCTCCGTTCTCGGGAAAGCAGACCGAGGGGAGGCATTTCTTTTATTTTTAAAAGTGATTCTCCTAGTTTAGTCCACTGTGCAGTGCTCCAGACTTTCACATGGTTGCCTGGCTGGCATCTCCAAATCCATGTGTGTGTGGTACCAAAAGCATGTGCTGATCCCAGTCTTGAGAGAGAAACGACTTACTCGAAAACCTAGTGCCCTACTTAACTTCCTTCGCCCCATATTATTTTTTCCCTGTGATTGAAAAAGAAACCTAATTTCCAACTAATTCAGTGAAGACCCCCCTATTAGGTGTAGGGAGGAGAAAGAAAGTAAAACTCCTCCCCCCGTGTTGTTCTGCAGGGAAGGATACAGCAATCCCCAGGTGTCCGCTGAGAACTTGATTGGCCTCAGCAGAGCCCGTCGACCGCACAACGCCATCTTTGTGAACTTTGACGATGAAGAGATCCCGGATAAGCCGCTGGAGGCAGCCGTGCAGAACTGGAAGAAAGTGTGCACCAATCCTGTGGATAAGAAGGTGGAAGAAGACTTGAGAAAGGTAGGGAGCAGCTGAAGTGACCGGGAACATTGCTTATGCACGTGGCATGGTAGAAATTTCATGGACCGTTTTTAATAATCTTTGTGTCCCCAGAAAATTGTTGGCAACAAAGAGATGACATTTGGCCTGTCAGATGAACAGCATGTGCCGGCATCCCTAGAAGGTTTCAGAGTGCCCCAGGGTAAATGTGGTGGTGAATGAGACACTGAGGTCTGATCATTAGACAAGGGAACTGAAGCCAGGACTCCTGGGCTGTTCTTCCAATTCTGCCTCCGATGTCTCACATTTTGGCAAGGTTACAATCCCTTTACTCAATGTCCAGGATAGTATTAGCATACATTTCAAGGCACTAAAGAAATATCTGGCCACTGTATGTTTGCAGCTCTCCTTGTTGAGAGTCTTGGGGTTCATTAGGGTTTTACAAAGTTGCTATTGGAGGAAAAGTAAATCTAGCATAGGATGGGGTGTGCTATTAATAAACGCGGGAAGACTGTATATATCTTGCATTACTTGAAACATGAACCTCCTGGGGGTGGTTCCCCATCTTCATCCATTTGATCATGTATTTTAAGTTTGGAATGAACTGAGTGCTTATAAATGATGCATGGGCTAAAAGCCTGTTGGGGCGTGATGCTGAAGTCGGCAGGTGCCGTGTTCTGAAACTGTCCATTGCTCTGAAACTGCATCCTTTAGCATGAATACTAGTTTAAAAAGAATCCTTTACTATGCTTTCTCCTCCCACTTCCAACCCCTGACCAGCTCTCAAGTGTTCTTGGAGCAAAGTTTGCCTGCAACACTGAGTTCCTTGGGGGTCTCTTCTTAGTTAGTGAAACAGGTCACCAAGGATTAAGCTGCAGCCATTGTGTTCATTTTACTCATTATCTGAGTCAGGATTTGAGTCTGTCTATGCAGAAATAAAAAGCTAGTTTATGCCCTCATGGTGCCACCATTGCTTTTCCCTTAACTCTGCCAATTTGCAGGGACAGCCTAGGCCAAAGGCTATCCTAAAGAGCAGGTGGCTGTTAGGAAAGTGAAATTAGTAGGAGTAATCTTCTCCCCACCCACTGTTGCTTGTGTATTTCTTCAGCTGTTTGAGGTTCGTCCCGTCTGGTCCCGGAACGCTGTCAAGGCCAATATCAGCATCCACCCAGACAAGCTTAAGCTTCTGCTGCCATATCTGGCTTATTATATGGTGAGTCTCTTTGTACATCTCTTCTGTCAGTCTTGTTCTTACCTGAGGCACATAGGGGTCAAAGGCATGGAAGGACCATCTTGGGCGCCTGTGGGTAATTCCTCGTGATCTGCTGTACAGGTACCTCCACCTAGAACCCACAGATTTGTATTATGTGTAGTTGAGTAGGGGCTGGAGGCAACTGGGTTGGTTCTGTTGGTCCTGACCAGTTCTCCAGTTACAGTAACTCCAGTTACAGTAAAAATGTGTGTGTCCTGCTGGATATGCAAGCTGGCGCTCTCAAAACAAAAAGCTTCTGAGCTTTGAGGTTAACTTCTAAATTCACACTTTTGTACCATGTAGCCTTCCTTTGCACAAGGTGGGATGGTCAGTGTTTGCATTGGAAGGGGGTTTTTTTGTTTTGTTCTGTTTTGTTTTTGCAAAAGAAAATAAGGAAACATATTTAAGAGCTTATGTTGGCACTCTGTAACCCTATTCTTTCCCTTGTAACTAACCCCCTGTACACAGTTGACAGGGCCCTGGAGAAGCCTGTGGGTTCGGTTTGGGTATGACCCCAGAAAACATTCTGAAGCAAAGATTTACCAAGTCCTGGACTTCAGAATACGCTGTGGAATGAAATATGGTAAAATGACCCAAACCACTGCCTCCTTGTCAATTTTGGCAGCTCTTCTGCCAAGCCTGTTGTTTGCTTTTGAACTCTAAATTTTCCTCAGTTTTTTTGTTTGAAAGAGAGGAGATATGAGTCAGGGTTTCCAGTTTTGCTTCTGTAGAATCCGGGCAGGAGTGTTCCTTTACCCTCTTCAGAGATGATAATTAGCCACTAGACATGTTCCAAGCCTAACAAAATGCTGCTTGACTTTTATTCTCCTTCTTGGTTCAAAATATGCATGTATGCTGGCAGGAAATGGTACCAGAAGGTCCATTTCTTTGTCCTGTGGGGGAGCTGAGTGAATATTAAAAGGACGATTTGTCCGTTTGGACTATAACACTGCACAAGAAACTCCTCCAAAAAGGACAGTTTTCTCCCCTACCCTGGGGGTCTTCAAGAGGAGGTTAGGTAGGCATCTGGCTGGGGCCATCTGAACCCAGCACTATTTCCTGCCTATGTTTTGGTGAATATATTTTTCATTTTTCTCTTAAAGTACAAAAGAGAAATCATTCTTAAGTGTCAAGTTTGTGCACTATGGGGGTTCACAGACATGACCCCCCCCCCAAAAAAAAAAAAAAAAAAGGCCCGCAGAGTCTTATCAGATGCTATAGACAACACGGGGAAGGTTGTATTTTAGCTTATGCCACTAATGCACCCTGATGCATTTATATGGTTTTCCCCTAGTTTGATTTAATGTGGTGTACTAGTGTATACAGAACGTGGCCTCATAGTACTCTGGTTTTATACATTTCTGTATTGGCTATAGCTGCGGAAAGTGCATGTCTTAATTTTTTTGAGTTTGGATTCTTCAGTAGACTAGTTAGAGTAACTACACAGAGGCAATTGAAGCCTTTTTGCAGGCTTCTAAGACTTGCTGCATCTCTGAGAGGTAGGGAGGACTACAGGATTTTGGTGCTCTGTTCACAGTCTGCTTGCTTTCTTTGCTTTCAGGTTATGCTCCTAACGACATGCCAGTGAAAGCAAAACGCAGCACATACAATTACAGCCTGCCCATCACTATCAAGAAGCCAGGTATGTGGACCAAGGCATGCAGGTGCTAGTGTTCATTAAGTTAGTGTTTTTTGGCTGCCCTGAGAAAGCTGAACCAAAGTAGAAAAGAAGCTGTATACTGTGCCTTGAAGTTCAAGATACTATACAAGTGGAGAATCTCTTTCCTCTCTCTTTCAGTAAGTCACACAGTTAGCATACAGGACCTAAAACAGGGCCTGGGCTCTTCAGGTACATCCAGTGCGAAAAAAACTTCCAGCAGGTACAAACTCAAGGTAGGTATTAAATCTTCTCACCAAAACCTTGGAATGGGATCGTCGGAACGGGGATCTGTTTTGTTTTGTAAATTATTCAGTGTCAGTGCTGGCTGAGACAAACCACAGACATCGGAACGGTTGCAGTTTTATTCGGAGATTGAAGTGCTTTTCTGTTTTTGTATTCAGTTAGGCTTAAGCGGAAAGTTCCTGCTTATTTACAGCTGCACACTTCCATCTGTTACCTTGAATATGATGGAAGCAGGTTATGGAGAGGGAATCCTTAGCCTACAGGGGAGCATTTTCCAGTTGCCATTTAAAATCCAGTTGGGCAGAGGAAATAAAGAACCAGAATTCCTGTTGTTACATGTTAACATTTTGCTGCAATGGCAACTTTTACCCAGGGATTCAAGGTATAACGAGTAACAACTCAAACAGGTGAAGGGTTTAAAAAGTGCCCGTCTTTTGAATTAGTTTGTGGGGAAACACCTTTCTAATAAATGCTGAGGCTGTACCATTATACCATGACCCAAGTGTGGAAATAAGTAGAAATGCTTGTTCAGATCACAGTCTGTTCTCCTCCCAGGATTCCATGTATATCTTCCAAGAAGGGGCCCTGCCTCCATATCGACAGATGTTCTATCAGCTCTGTGACCTGAATGTAGAAAGGTATTATGAAACATTAGTTGAATCTTTTCACAGGAGAAGATTTCACAGACTCTGTGGTGATTAATCTTAAATGCCCCCATTTACACACAAGCATCTATCTCTCTGTTTGACCTGAGTATTCAAGACTGCCAGCCTTTAAGTGAGAACACATAGGCTGCTTCACTCACAGTTGCAGTTCCTTCGCGATAAAGTTATGCAAGCAACCAAGATACCCTTCTGTCTTTACCTGCATTTTGGGGCTGGTCCCAGTCCACTGAAACTAGTGGGGATACGTGAGGCCCTATTCCCATTGTTTTCCACCTACTGATTACATAGGTATACAAAATGTCACAGAACTTGGGAAAGCACACTCCTGCTTTTTTGGGGGTTTTGATGAATGCAAATGTATATAAGCATAAAATACATGCTGCATCGAACGCTCAACATGATTTGTCACAAGGATAAGATTTAGAAAAGGCTTCACTTATAGCCTCCCCAGTTATTATCTATTTAAAATGTTACCTAGGGATGGAGTGAAGACAGTGACATTTTGTAGCTGTTCAGCAAAATTAAATACTCTGGTTTCGGTGGACCCAAGTCAAAAGGAGATGCTTTTGTTTTGTTTCAGTTTTCCTAATGAAAAGTTCTACAAATGTTGAAATCATCCAATGAAAAATGCTTATTCTCTGTAGAAATTGCACTTTCTGTTGGAAAGCCACTCTAGTGGGAAATTCATAACCATCTCTGCTAGTGAAACTTTCCTTGTAACGTGCTGGGGGGTGGGTCTTTGATGAGAAGGCACAATTAGTTTCGACAGTTTTGTTTGAAGTCTGTATCTGATGCCAAGTTGACTCTTTTCTTGGCTGCTGTTTAGCTTACAGAAAATCATTCATCGAAATGATGGCATGGAAGTGGAGTGCAGCGAACGGGATGGGTGGTGCCTTCCGAAGACTAGTGATGATCTGAGAGATACCATGTCTCTGATGATCAAGCAGACCATCAGATCCACGAGACCTGGTAAGGCGAGATGCCCGCTTTTTAAGCATTGGAAAGGATGTTTGGAAAATTAGATGTTGTAGTGTGCTGCTCTTTGCAGTGGAGCAATAAACATGGCTTGGCCCGGATCACCTCCCTTGTTCTGGAAGGCTTAGTCCAAGTTGGTTAAGTATTGGAGTTTGATCCCATGTTTTTCATTCTACTTAGATCACCACGGTGGGGGTTGGGGGGTGAGTCTGAAGTCCTCATCTTGGACACTGGCAGGACACCTGCTTTTCTTCAAACAGTCTTTGTCATGTCATGGAAAAGATCCCATACTCTGAGAGAAAGTAACTAGACTTTGCCACTTACAACACCAGCAAATTGAATTGGGACCTGTGAATAGGTAGGGGGTAGAACTCCCTGCCTTGCCTTCTCAATATCAATCTCTCTTTCTCTCTCTGTTTTTTTTTGCGTCACCCTATAATCCCCTTGATGGTGCATTTATGCATATTGGTGGCAGCAGGAAATGGACCTTTATTAATAAGTTTGTATGAATCATGTACTATAGGAGTCACTACAGGAAAGGAAAACATGTCCGTATGATGCTGGCCCATATTGCTTTCCAAAAGAAATGAAGTAGCTTTATTTGGTACAAGATGGTGTGACCTCCTGAAAGGCAAAACCTCCTACCATTGTACAGTTAGAATTCCTTGGGAAGGAAAATTGACTTTTTTCCTTCATCTTTTGGTTTTATTAAGATATTAATTGCGGTCAACATTTCGTTTCCATCTGCTGCCTGGATCTGTTAATGTTATCGCAAATGCATCGGTGGCTTCAGTGATGATGGAAGTAATGCTGATGGTTTCCTCTTTCTCTGTTTGATTAAGCTCTGTTTTCAAGTACATCAACCACTGAAGATGGCAAAGAGCAGCTGACATATGAGTCTGGTGAGGATGAGGATGATGAGGAAGAGGAAGACTTCAAGCCATCTGATGGGAGTGAAAACGAAATGGAAACTGAGATTCTGGACTATGTGTGATTCTGTGAGCAAACAAGACAAGGTTGCACAGAACCCATTTTGGGCATAGAAATTTTGTTTCTTGAACCCTGGGGGATTTGGAGAGGTGGAGCTCACTCCAAGATGCCAGTTGCATGCGGCACTGGCAGCAGTGCTTGCCCTTGCATCAGCGGCCAGTGTACTGGGGGCACAGGCACTCCCAATGGCATTTTTATAGCGCTGGGGAGACCAGGAGCCATAGAAATGACTTTGTAAGGAAGCTTCCCCACCTTGCTACTCCCACTTGCTTGGTCAGGGGGCTCTGACTGGCATTTCTTGTGGAATCAGCTGGGCCTTACCTGCCCTGGAGAATTTCTGGTGGCAGTTATGTAGCTAGTTGTGCATCTTTATTGCATTTTCCTTACCTCCTTGAACAAGCAAACTGCCATATCTGATCTCATGGGATCTGTGTTTCCCTTTGTGACTATAGTGCTATTTCTGGGATGCCCCTGGGGGGTGACGTCAGTGCACCGTCTTTTCTTCCCAGGAGCTGAGAGCACCTTTGTCCTTGCCAGCCCTATTGCATAAGTCTTCAGCAAGCCTTGAGCCCAGGCCTAGTGGGACTGCGCCTGGCCTCATGCACCAAAGGATTAACATTTAATTATACCCTTGGAGGCCACAGAACTTGTAAACCTGCCGTCAGGGTCACTGGAAAAAATGTATTGAGAACAGGACAAACAAGGCTAGTATTATTAATCAAGAGGCTGCGGAGCATATCACTTGGCTTGGCATGAATCATGTGCATTTTAATGGGGCCTGTAGGTACCAGTCCATGATTGCATATGTACGTGAGAAGCACGTGGTAACTTCTCTCCATTAAGCCAACTGCCAAGAAATACAGTCCTTGCCTGCTTTCCTAATTAAACTTGATTTTTTTCTCAATAATAACTTATTTTTCCATTACTTACCTCTGCTCATATGCACTTGTATGTAGTCCAGCTCCCATTGGGGTAGGAAGTGACCGACGGACTTAGTCAGGAGTTGGATTAATGGGTTCATTTAACGTTTGACTGGGTACTTGCATGTAAACCAACCCAGCCAAAACCTGTCAGTTTTTGCATTGGCATTTGTGCTCTTTACAAGTATCAAGTCAGGCTGGCAACTCCCTGGAGTGGAGAAGTGTCTGACCTGGAATCCTGTGGTTGTCCTTTCCTGGGAAAAGCACTTTGGTTGGGTTTGTGTCTCTTGAGCTGAGAATAAAGAAGTACTTTTAACTCCATTGACTTCAGGGTATTGCCTTTGGCTCTTCCAAGTAGGAATAAAATATATTTTGGAACAGTGGCAGCGTCTTCTTTATTCTGTCAGCTTGAGAAATTGGAAACAAGGCCAGAGGAAGGAACTCCAATTAGAAACTGCATCCAGTGAATTATTCACTTCCTTGTGATGATCCGTGGTGGCTCTGCCAGATCATCGACTCCCAGTCATGAGCTAGCTCTTGATTCCACTCATCAGGAGAGCAAGGCGGGAACAGACAGTCCTGAACATTTCCAAGTAGCTGATGGCTGGAAGCTCTGACCGTCCACTTGGTCTCAATAATTCCTACCGAGTTGCATCTAGTCCATCTCCTGATTCCAAATCTGGGCAAGACTTGGTTCATGGCACGCGGTATAGTTCTAAGGCATTATTTTGTCTGTCTTTAAATATCTCAGCTTATATGCAGCTCTGTGGTGAGTCTCTTTTCTTTAAGACTGCTAAGACCTAGAACTTTCTTCAAGGAGGCAAGCTGCCAGCCCACACAAGAAACAGCTGGAGGTCTCTCACAACCTAGTGCCGGTTATCAACCACGATTTGGCTGCAGCCAGGTGAAGCACAGGTGTGTGCAATCTGTGCGAGCACCCTTGGCACAGGTGGGACAAGGTGGAGCTCCATGGGCGCATGCGGATATTTGTATTCCAGCGCATCTGTACATATATATAGGCACATAGGCAGGGATCAGTCTGTCAGGCAGGCGTCATGTGTCGTTGGGGGATTCTGTGCTTTGCCCTCTTCTGCTACCTGGGCGTAGCATGGGCTACAAAGGTAAGGATACAGCAAGCCATTCATTTTCCTTTAGCTTAAAGAAAATTGGAGAGAACAGGTTGCCTGGTTAGAGTCACGTATTAAAGTTTTTGTGGTCTCTCCCCCAGCTCCTGGCATATCCGCAGGTGCTATGTTAAATGGGCATCCAAGACCTCCATAATAAGTAGCTCCATACAGAGCAGCATCTCGCTGTTTGTATCTGAAAGAAAGCGGGCAACTGCCTTCTGGGGTCACGGAAGTGGATGTGCGAACCAGATGGATCCACTCGCCAATGCTCATTCTTGTGGGCTGCCGCAAAACAGCAAGGGGTTGGTTTCAGCTTAGATTTGGGATACGGCAACAGAAATGGGTGATACCAACTCTTGAGCAAAGGTGGATGGCTTGTAGCCCGAGTGTTTTTAGGGGGATGTCCTATTTTTTCTCATGGCAGGGCTCGCCTCTCATTTACTGGCTTCTGAATATTTTTCATCCTATAAAGTAGCTATGCGTCACTGAGCAATTTATTTTAGCAAATAAGGAATCCCAGTTTATTTTAGCAGCCTCAGACAGGGAAAAAGGCTG